TATATATATATACAATACAATCACGTCTGTATCCTGTCTACTTACACATATATATATATATATTATATACAATACAATCACGTCTGTATCCTGTCTACTTACACACACATATATATATATATACAATACAATCACGTCTGTATCATGTCTACTTACACACATATATATATATATATACCATACAATCACGTCTGTATCCTGTCTACTTACACACATATATATATATACAATACAATCACGTCTGTATCCTGTCTACTTACACACACACATATATATATATATACCATACAATCACGTCTGTATCCTGTCTACTTACACACACATATATATATATATACAATACAATCACGTCTGTATCCTGTCTACTTACACACACATATATATATATATATACAATACAATCACGTCTGTATCATGTCTACTTACACACATAATGTGCTTTTCAACTCTAGGAAATACCCAAAACTGTATTTAATGATTAAAAAACGTTCTACATTCTCACATGTCTTTGATAGAAACAGATGGATGACCTCGGCTCTACATGCACTCTATGAAGATGTGTAGAACTTTATCAGTAACATACGTGCACACATGGACAATGTTATGAATTGTTATATGTTACAATGAGATGCAAACATACAGTACATGTACTCACCATCAGCTGCACTGAGCATGGCCAGGCAGGACAGGAACCACAGGATCGCCATTCTTGGTGGTGTTGATGATGGTGACATCTGCCCAGCTTTTATACCTTTCTATCAGCCAATCAGGGAAGAGTTGTAGACCTATGACAAGGACTATGTCAGACCCCCTTATCAGGATACCTTGGCCTAGAGAAAAGATATGAGGACACAGGTGTTCCAGGAGAACGGCACTTCACTCTTCATTAACTCGAAAGTAAATAAATAGTACGTGACCCATGTAACATAGGATCCATAGTCCGTGTCCCATGTAACACAGAATCCATAGTCCGTGTCCCATGTAACACAGCATCCATAGTCCGTGTCCCATGTAACACAGCATCCATAGTATGTGACCCATGTAACACATAGTATCCATAGTATATGTGACCCATGTAACACAGTATCCATAGTATGTGACCCATGTAACACAGTATCCATAGTATGTGACCCATGTAACACAGTATCCATAGTATGTGTCCCATGTAACACAGCATCCATAGTCCGTGTCCCATGTAACACAGCATCCATAGTATCCGTGACCCATGTAACACAGTATCCATAGTATGTGACCCATGTAACACAGCATCCATAGTATGTGACCCATGTAACACAGCATCCATAGTATGTGACCCATGTAACACAGTATCCATAGTATGTGTCCCATGTAACACAGTATCCATAGTATGTGACCCATGTAACACAGCATCCATAGTCCATGTGTCCCATGTAACACAGCATCCATAGTCCATGTCCCATGTAACACAGCATCCATAGTCCGTGTCCCATGTAACACAGCATCCATAGTCATGTCCCATGTAACACAGCATCCATAGTCCATGTCCCATGTAACACAGCATCCATAGTCCGTGTCCCATGTAACACAGCATCCATAGTCCATGTCCCATGTAACACAGCATCCATAGTCCATGTCCCATGTAACACAGCATCCAGCATCCATAGTCCATGTCCCATGTAACACAGCATCCATAGTATGTCCCATGTAACACAGCATCCATAGTCCGTGTCCCATGTAACACAGCATCCATAGTCCGTGTCCCATGTAACACAGTATCCATAGTCCGTGTCCCATGTAACACAGTATTCATAGTCCGTGTCCCATGTAACACAGCATCCATAATCCATGTCCCATGTAACACACTACAGCATCCATAGTATGTGTCCCATGTAACACAGCATCCATATCCATGTCCCATGTAACACAGTATCCATAGTCCGTGTCCCATGTAACACAGCATCCATAGTCCATGTCCCATGTAACACAGCATCCATATCCATGTCCCATGTAACACAGCATCCATAATCCATGTCCCATGTAACACAGCATCCATATCCATGTCCCATGTAACACTCTGCATCCATAGTCCATGTCCCATGTAACACAGTATCCATAGAATGTGACCCATGTAACACAGTATCCATAGTCCATGTCCCATGTAACACAGTATCCATAGTCCGTGTCCCATGTAACACAGTATCCATAGTCCGTGTCCCATGTAACATAGTATCCATAGTCCATGTCCCATGTAACATAGTATCCATAGTCCATGTCCCATGTAACATAGTATCCATAGTCCGTGTCCCATGTAACATAGTATCCATAGTCCATGTCCCATGTAACATAGTATCCATAGAATGTGTCCCATGTAACATAGTATCCATAGTCCGTGTCCCATGTAACACAGCATCCATAGTATGTGACCCATGTAACACAGCATCCATAGTCCATGTCCCATGTAACATAGTATCCATAGTCCGTGTCCCATGTAACATAGTATCCATAGTCCATGTCCCATGTAACACAGTATCCATAGTCCGTGTCCCATGTAACTCTGCATCCATAATCCAGTTTCCCATGTAACACAGTATCCATAGTCCGTGTCCCATGTAACACAGTATCCATAGTCCATGTCCCATGTAACACAGCATCCATAGTCCGTGTCCCATGTAACACAGTATCCATAGTCCATGTCCCATGTAACACAGTATCCATAGTCCATGTCCCATGTAACACAGCATCCATAGTCCGTGTCCCATGTAACACAGCATCCATAATCCATGTCCCATGTAACACAGCATCCATAGTCCGTGTCCCATGTAACACAGTATCCATAGTCCATGTCCCATGTAACACAGCATCCATAGTCCGTGTCCCATGTAATACAGTAACCATAGTCTATGTCCCATGTAACACAGCATCCATAGTCCATGTCCCTGTAACTCTGCATCCATAATCCATGTCCCATGTAACACAGTATCCATAGTCCGTGTCCCATGTAACACAGCATCCATAATCCATGTCCCATGTAACTCTGCATCCATAATCCATGTCCCATGTATCACAGTATCCATAGTCCATGTCCCATGTAACACAGTATCCATAGTCCATGTCCCATGTAACACAGTATCCATTGTATGTGACCCATGTAAAACAATATCCATAGTCCGTGACCCATGTAACACAGCATTCTACTTCCACCACATGTAGCACTGCCCACTCAGGGGATGCTGAGTAATTTTGGGGTACCCTGTCTTGCCTGACCCCGCTCTGAAAGCCCAGCCCCTGCTGACACCACCTAAAACCTCTGGCCAGACGAACCCTCCGGCTGCAGCCATATAATAGACTCACGCATAGTTTAGAGTGAGATGATATTTTGTATTAAGGCCATATGAATATGTACATGAAATAACAGTCATCGCTCTTAACCTCTTGAACGCAAATGTGCGGCCTCCTGGAGTCTGGGCCTAGACGCCGAGTGGCCGCACATCTGCGTCCTATTAAAAAAAACATATGTGCTGAGAGCGCACATCCTGCGTGCTCCCAGCACACATGTCCGGTACTCAGGGAAAAGTCCCAATCTCCTCTTTCGATCGGGACCTTTCCCGATCATGTGACTGCCGTGACAGTATGTCACGGCGGTCACATGACCCTAAACACCACCCCCCTTCCTGGCTTCTGAAAGCCGGCGCCAAGAGGTTATTATAACTTCAAATAAGGGTCACAACGCAGCACAAGCTCAATCAGTCCTAGGTGTCCTGCAATTCAAAATGTAAATGGTAGCCTCAATCCTGGGATATTTCTTCCCCATTGAGCAAAGGAAACTACAAAAGAGAGAGGCTTTGGGTTCTCAGGGGCTGGTGACTGGGTTTAATTCTGAGAAAAGTAGAGCTCTTCAATTAAGTAGGCCAATGTCCCTTCTGAATGCTTGATGGGGCCCTAGTTGGTGCACATAAAGATTCCAGTCTTCCGTAACCTCTTCTCATTCAGCCCATGACGATAAATGGCTGGACAGGAGAGCTGCTAATGCAGCGGGACATTTCTAAATGTCCCCCCTGCATCCATTCCCTCGGAGCATGCTGCACTGCGATCAATGCCCGCTGTGTCCTCCGGACACAGATCATTGTATGGGACCTCTGTGTGAGGTCCCAATTCATGTGATCACTGATTGGCCAATCAGTGATCACATGAATAGTAGTAAACAAGATGTCACTTCCTGAATGATCACAGAGATCACATGGTACAGGGCTATTCACAACAGCCTTGTAGCATGTGACAAGCTGTGACCAATCACAGATATCATAGTATTTCTCAATAGCTGCAGAAAATGTCCGCTTCTTATCTCCTGAAAAGACAGACTGAACCGCAGCCATTCTGCACTTACTCAGTTTGGTGTGTATTGCTAGAGAGGTTTTTTTTTTTCTTGGGAGAGTACATGTGATCAGCACAGGGCCAATCAGCACTGTCCAGACAGAGGGTCAGGGATTTGCATCCTCCTACCAGTGTTCTACTGAACACTGATAGAAGTCACAAGACTGCTATATACTGCTGATGAGAATAGGTATTTAGCAGTGTATATTTACTAAAATAATTGCATTTCCTTGTTCTGTGTACTGTGGGAGAGCGGATATAGTGAACGTGGGGTCGGGGAGAGCGGATATAGTAAATGCGGGGTCCGGGGAGAGCGGATATAGTGAACGTGGGGTCCGGGGAGAGCGGATATAGTAAATGCGGGGTCCGGGGAGAGAGGATATAGTGAATGCGGGGTCCGGGGAGAGCGGATATAGTGAATGCGGGGTCCGGGGAGAGAGGATATAGTGAACGTGGGGTCCGGGGAGAGCGGATATAGTGAATGCGGGGTCCGGGGAGAGAGGATATAGTGAATGCGGGGTCCGGGGAGAGAGGATATAGTAAATGCGGGGTCCGGGGAGAGCGGATATAGTGAATGCGGGGTCCGGTGAGAGCGGATATAGTGAATGCGGGGTCCTGGGAGAGCGGATATAGTGAATGCGGGGTCCGGGGAGAACGGATATAGTGAATGCGGGGTCCGGGGAGAGCGGATATAGTGAATGCGGGGTCCGGGGAGAGCGGATATAGTGAATGCGGGGTCCTGGGAGAGCGGATATAGTGAATGCGGGGTCCGGGGAGAGCTGATATAGTGAATGCGGGGTCCGGGGGGAGAGCGGATACAGTGAATGCGGGGTCCGGGGAGAGCGGATATAGTGAATGCGGGGTCCGGGGAGAGCGGGATATAGTGAATGCGGGGTCCGGGGAGAGCGGATATAGTGAATGCGGGGTCCGGGGAGAGCGGATATAGTGAATGCGGGGTCCGGGGAGAGCGGATATAGTGAATGCGGGGTCCAGGGAGAGCGGATATAGTGAATGCGGGGTCCGGGGAGAGCGGATATAGTGAATGAAGAGTCCGGGGAGAGCGGATATAGTGAATGCGGGGTCCGGGGAGAGCGGATATAGTGAATGCGGGGTCCGGGGAGAGAGGATATAGTGAATGCGGGGTCCGGGGAGAGCGGATATAGTGAATGCGGGGTCCGGGGAGAGCGGATATAGTGAATGCGGGGTACAGGGAGAGCGGATATAGTGAATGCGGGGTCCGGGGAGAGCGGATATAGTAAAAACATGCAGCTCTGAGATGGATAGTACTTATCATAAATTATTACTAATAAAATATATTTTAAAAAACCCGTATAATATACAGATGT